GACATCTTTTTTTTTTTTTTTTTTTTTTTTGTGTGTGTGTGTGTTTGTCCAGCAGGGGTTCCTTCGCGGGACATCCGTGAAAATGAAAGTGACGGAGAGAGAGATATAATTATAGGATCGGGATTGGGACTGGGTTTATTTGTTTCCCATCAGGTTGTCTGCAAATATCAGTCCTTGTTGCCCCTGGGGCCAAGTCCCACTAGCAGCGTTGAGCTACCTCAACGCCTGAATCTGGACGTGTTTGTGGAGACGTGCAGTTCAGGAAACTCGACACCATTTCTGCACACATCTCCGTAAAAGCGTCCAGATTCAGGCGTTGAGGTAGCTCAACGCTGTTAGTGGGACTTGGCCCCTGCACAAGGGTGGACATGGCAGACGTAAATCGCGAAATGGTGCAATTGTAAGACAAAAAGGGAAAGAAAATCTTTAAAAAAAACTAATAAAAAATAAATAAAAAAGTAAAAAGGAACTTAGAAAAAAAAAGGGAGTTTTCCCTGAGGCAAGAGCGGTCTACAGTGTTACGAACGATCAGCTGATTTTTTATTTTTATTTTTTAACGGGGACAAGGTCCCACGTGCGCGAATTAGGAGATTTCGGCCGTTGATCTTTGCAATCTACGGTCAGTATCTCTTAATTCGTGCAAGTGGGACCTAGCCCCGGATAAGAAGTCTAGAGAGCATGTTCTTCTCTGCCGATACCCAAAGAAAGAAAGATCGGGATCGCGGTCCCACCTACCTGCATGAAAGAAAGAGAGATCGTCGGGGTCGCGGTCCCACCTACCTATACATAATCTTCGTCATGGGCCATCAATCTCTTTTTCTTTTTTTCTTTTTCTTTTTCAAATTTCTACTGTCAGAATTGAATTGAAAAAAAAAAAAAAAAATTCTTAAAAAAAAAAAAAAAAAAAAAAAAAAAGATATCAGATGGTAATGTTGGCCACAATCCCCTTGGTACAGAGGCCAATGGGAGGAAAAAAGTTGACCTTTCACTCTGCAAAGACTCCTTACGGCTGCGGCCGGCACCGACTTCACTACTCCCTGCCATCGGCAAACACGAAGGGCCCAAAAAGCCCTACCAGCTCAAGTCGGGTACACCTGCCCTCACCACGCCTCGGGGGGACAGGCAACAGTAAGGACAGCGAAATCTGCCAACATATGTCAGTTGTCCAAGCATTGATATGTGTTGTAATATGAGGGATGGTAGACCCGGTTTCCAGCAGGTGCAGCTCCCCACCAATAGATGGAGCCTTCAACAGGGGACCCACTTAGGGAGGCTGCTCTTACCACCTCCCTGAGTGGTATCCGCGACTCAAAGTACAAAAAAAAAAAAAAAAACCCAGCAACAACGAGACCGAAACGTCAAATGCTGGGCCCGCCGTTGATAAATTCTATCAGCGGTCACATTTTCGTTTCGTGCCTTCAGAATTTGAGGTGTCAGGCCTGCAGCCCACTAGTGCTTTAACCAGAATTACCTCCAAAAAATGGGTTCCGAGAAATCTCTGTTAAATTTTCGAATAGAAGGTACCCTCTAATACAAGGTACGTACCTTGTATTCTAGGTGTGCCATGTCTGAGATATTTGAATCATATTTCAGGGTTTTTTTTTTTTTTTTTGGCTGCAAAAAAAGACAAAAATCGTAATGGTATATCTTTCCATGTTCTAGCGGAAAATTCACTCTCGATTTGCAGAGTAGTGGAGCAAGGCCCGGACTCTGAAGTCTACTTCGCTCGAACTCAAGAACTTCTCGTAGCTGCGGAACTAATGTGTTCTTTTTCACAACAAAAAAAACGAAGGAAAAAAGAACTTCACGTGATATTATTACCATATTGGATTTTACTATATAGGGCCTCGTTAGACCCTCCTTGGAAAATCCAAAGCAATTAGGATGAAGTCCTTGGAAAAATTTACGTTTTTCGCGCCGTCGTTACACCGCGTCCTAATCCGATGGGTCCCAAGGAAAACCCTTGGAGGCCTCCAGCGGCCAATTTCATATGCATACACGCGGCCACAGGGGGTGGATGTCCGTCCTCGTGCTGGGATGTCCATGCGTCGTCGGCGTGGTCCAATGGCGGCGACAGGGAGGCCCACCGCAAGCCACCGGGGTGGGGGGGGAAAAATGGCGTGAACATCCCGGTTCAAAATTTGAAATTTGAAATTTGAAACCTTTGTTGTGACGCGCCCGCACCAGAGGCGTCCAGGCCGCTGGAGTGCACACTGGAGCGAAACGTCTGTGCGAGGAGTACTGGTGGGCATGAATCAATAGGCGGCCATTGGAATGCACGCCAACGTAGTGCCAACGATAATGGTCGTCCCGCGAGATCTCGTCAGCGGGTTAACTTCCACTTTCCTCTTCGGTCATCCTTGACAATCTGGTGGACCGCCATAGCTGACCGTGCACGTCGGGGGTGCATGAAGCGTCAAATTCCATGAAGCGCGGAGAGTGCTGCCGCCATATTCGTCGACGCGGAGACAAGGGAACGAGGGCGCCAACGAGCGAAAGGGTGTTGGTCATTTGCGCATTGCACGTCATGAACGTGGAGGGAGAGGTGCAGGCCGTTGGGAATGCATTGACGACTTTGGAGAGAAATGCGGTGGTTGCAGTTGTGTTGGCCATCGCCATTCGTTATCACATTGAGAGAACGACCACTCGCCTGAAGATGAGACTGTCCATTCACAGGCAAAGGCAGCTCATGCAACAAGTGATGGAGGCGCCCGATTGTGTGTCGTTATCTGAATCCTTTCTGCAATTCTGCTCCATGGCATCGGGTGCGATCCCGCGGACGACTCCAAGATGGTGGATGAGGAGAAGGACAGGCGGGACATGGGAGGATCTCCGGAAGATGGACGACGCGGCGGAGGGATACGATAAGGAGAAGTTGCGGATGTCACGTAGAGTGTTCATGGAGATTGTCGAGGCGTTGTCCCCTCATCTGCAGCGCAGGGTGACATTCTACAGGGAGCCTTTGATGCCAGATCACATCATCGCATACGCGTTTTATCATTGGGAAAGTGGGGAGACATACGAGAGTAGCACGTCGCCATTCGGCATAGGTTGCGCATCAGGATTGATTGCAGTGGAGGACGTGACGAAGGCGCTTATGAGGGTGTACCGGGAGAAGATCGCTTGGCCTTCTTGGTTGCGGCGACTTGTAGTTTTGTGCGCGTTCGAGGTAAAGGGTTTCCCCAACTGCTATGGCTGCATAGACTGCACGCACATCTACATGGATAAACCAGTGAACGCACCGTCTGAGAACTACTTTGACCGGAAGCATTGTTTTTTGGTGGTTGCGCAGGTGGTTGTGGACTTGGACTTGCGTGTGACAGACGTTTTCGTCGGCTATCCCGGAAGTTGTCACGACATCCGAGTGCTTCAACTGTCCACTCCATGGAAGTGTGTTGAAGAGGGGGATCTTTTCGTCATCCTGCTGTGCTCCTACCGTTCGGGGTATAGACACACGGTACATCCTTGGCGATAACGACTATCCTCCCATGGACTGGATCGTGGTGCCTTATAGACGGACCAATCAAATCCTCGACAAGGAGAGGTTTGGCAACAAGCAGAAGGTCGCCAGAGGAATGGAGGAGAGAGTTTTCGGAAGGCTAAAGGGGATGTGGAGGTTTTTCCTCCGCACACACAAAACGAATATGGATACTCTCCCGCAACAGTTCCAAGCCATGTGCATTCTGCACAACATCCTCCTGGATGCCGACATCGACTTTGACGACAACTTGTTGTGGGAGGTGGACGCGAATGGTGTGCGCCGACGAGTGGACTTGGGGATGGATCACCCACCCCACCCCATTGCGGAGAACTTCAATCGGCCCCAGGCGCTGGCCTTGCGCGAAGCACTTGCGGAGCGCATGAAACACGGGTGAATGCTCTCGATTACTCTCCACGACGCTACCTCTGTCGTTGCTCTGCTGCGGAGGACGAGCGTGTTAATGTTTGGGATTGGTCGGCGGGACGGGGGAGGAAGGAGAGGGCGGTGGGGGGGTGGACGAAGGTGGGGGTGGGGGAACGTCGTTGGCTGGGTCCATGCAGTTGTTGTTTTTTTTTTGTAGATTTTTTTTTTCCTTTTGTGTTGTTAATTTTATTTTCTTGTTAAGCATTTGTAAAGCGATGGAGGGTGCTCCATCATCGATTTTATGACGACAGCGCTATCGCCATTATTCTGTGTAAGAACTTGTCCAATGTCGTCCATTTATAGTTGTGTGGGCATGTTACGGTTCCAATTTTTCTCCTTCTCATTCTCTGGTTTGATGTATGTTGCATGTCTTCAGTGATAGTCCCATCAGAGTCACATCGACGGGTTCAATTACAAAAAAAAATGATCATTGTTTTATGATTTTTTTTTTTCCTCCCTCGATTACAGCTCTGCAACACACTTGACGACATCGTGAAAACATCTATGAACGAAAACAAAGTATCCCTCAATCAATCAATCGATCGATCGTTCAATCGATCAATCGATCGATCAATCAATCAATCAATCAATCAATCAATCGTTCAATCAATCAATCAATCAATCAGGCAATCGATCAATTGATCAATAAATCAATCAGTCAATCCATCAATTGAATGATCAATCAATCATTCAATCAATCAATCGATCAATCAATCGTTCAGACAATCAATCAATCAATCGATCATCCATTCGATCAATCAATCGGTCAATCGATCAATCAATCAATCAATCAATCAATCAATCAATCAATCATTCGATGAATCAATACACAAATTACAATAACAAATTCAAACGATTGAACTCGGTTGTGTTCGTGTGTAAAAATAATACTAATAATAACAAATAAGAAAATGGTGTGGCTAAAATTGTGCCAAATATCACACAGGACATTCACGATTTGTCAATGACAACATTCAAAACGATGCAATTACTAAAGGACGGACTCTCGAAGATCATACGCAGATTACAAGCACAGACATGGGCGATAGGAATACAAAAAAAACAGCGGACGCGACAAAGATGCAATGACATACATAGACGTTGTTTTATTTTGTTAAAAAAAAGTGTCATTCTCATAATGACTTCCATTCTATACTGCACGCGGCACATAAACAGCTAAGTCGACCGACCACACCGACAACCACCGACACCAGCACAACGTCCATCCGCAAACAAAGCCCCGTCGGGCGAACGTGGCAACCCCTCCACCCCCTGCATTTCATTCCCCCACCTACACCTTCCGCCTTCCATTCCTCCATCCCCTCCTTCCGTTCCCCCACCCGCTCCTTCCTTCCTTCCCCCCCCCCACCTTTTCTCAGCAAACGAAGGACGACGGACGTGGCGCCATCAACCAAGGGACCTTCCGCTCCGCGTGAAGACAAGGCGAGGAGGTGCCACTACGGCGACTCTCACGACCTTCCATCGCCATCATCTCCACCGTCCTTCCTTTCGTCGGCGATAGGTCCCGTCCCCATCCAATCCATCCTTGCCGCCACGTTAGGGTCATCCAAACCGGCCTTGTAGTTGAAGCTTACTCCACACGCCGCCCACTCCATGATGTAGTTGCGAAACGTATCCAACGTCACGGGCCGCTTTCCAAGGTGAAACAAAACAGCATTCCCGAAGTCGACAATATGCCTACGCCAGTTGAACGCCTGCAACCCTGCCGCCAGCAGAGTGGGCTTCACGACAAGCTGCGAGTAGTACAAGGCCTTGTAGACTAAGTGAGAACGGGCGTCGTCACCACCCATGCGCATGATCCACATAATAGCGGCGAGAAGAAGGCGGAAGGCATCCCTGATTCTGTTTAACCTAGACTGGGACATCTTCCCGTTCGTGGACCACTGGCCGTCGCGGAGCGCGTCTTGGAAGCAGGACGCCAAATGCAAGACTGTGGACTCCTAAAGGGCAGCCATGTCATCATCCTCCGGCTTGTCATGGATATACGCCCCAACATACCACAACATAATGTTCATTTTGAGGGCGAGCGTGTGATAAACGACACTGGGAAAAACAACCCTCGACCACTCAAGGGACTGTCACACTGCTCTCGCCAGATCCATCAAGTAGTCAACCGAGACATACGACTCCGCGCGGGCGAAACCATTGGCTCTGGAAGGGGACCCGAAGATCCATCCGTGGATCATGCGCATGGCCACGTTCTCCGTCTTCCTCGCCCTGCGAAGAGATGGCTCGCGCTGCGCTGGATCTTTGATTCGGAAGCAGGGGATGTCGTTTGTTGGCATGATCAGGCCTGCGAGAGCGCTGGCGCCAACGTCACCATTGACGATTGCGCAACAATAGTCTGCGCAAGAGTGCACAACATCGGCGATGAGGCGACCAGGTCCGGTCCCCGAGAATGTTTTTCCATTTGTCCACAACTTGGACCTTGCATCCAAGTCCTCCTCCTGCCGGGATCTTTTCTTCCTCTTTGTGAGAGGCTCTTTGTCGTCGTCGACAACCAGCGGAGTACGCTCTGTCGTCTCCTCTTTTCTTCTCGCCTCCTCGCGTGTCCCCCCTTCTCGCGTCTTGCCCCCGGTGCTGGCGACACCGTGGACAACCGCGCTTGCCAGGTTTGCCAGTGGAAGTACCCTGCCCAATGACCCAGCTACGGTGTTCGACGGATCGACGCAGCGAGGTTGTACAGGCTGGACATATGTTTTGTCGGCGCGTGTAGCTGTGGCCACCACTATCGCCGCTGGAGTGATAGGTCTTTGACCTCCTGAATCACCGGCGAAAGTCCCTTGAGAGTGTAAGCTTCCACTACGACTGATATGCGTCGTTCCTTGCGTGCCAACCCTAGCCAGTGCGAGGAATTGCTCCCTTGATATGCCGTCTCTGCCAAACCCCAGTGTCAATGCTTCCAGCGAATGGCCTTCCATGGGCGATTCCTGCTCCCCCCCCTCGCCCCCTATCGTACCCTCCGTCCCCTCCACATGCAGCTCTTTCGACTTTGGGACGTGTCCCTTTCCAAGCTGGCCGCCTCCGCCTTCGCTGGGGCTGTCTCGCTTTTTCTGTGGCGACTGTCAACGTGGTGCCATGAGTTATCGACGGATGTCGCCTCTCCTTAAACGAACAGCGGACGAGAGTGCTCTACGACGTCGACGCTGTGGCGGAGAGACTGCTGCTCGCTCGTCTGTGAAGACAACGATGGACGCACTTGTGGTTAGATCGGACCCTAAAATTTGTTTTACAAGGTACGTACCGAATACAAGGTACAAGGTACGTACCGAATACAAGGTACAAGGTACCTCTTATCTTCTATTCCTGGATGTACCAGAATGCCTTGAGGCCGTTTCTGGATACATCTGACCGCAGTTACGTCCAGAGCTCAGCGGAAAAAGCACAAATCTGTATTCTGTAAGGGCCTCGTTTGACACCACTAAAGAATACTTATTTTGTAAGGGCACCCTCATCCGGGGATAGTGATTAATTTCCCCTAACTCCATTTTTCGTTCCACAGCCCCTTACAGAAACCCCCTTCCCCGGGGATGGTGATTAATTTCCCCCAACTCCGTTTCTCGTTCCACAGCCCCTTACAGAAACCCGACACTTCGGCGCCCTCACAATTCAGGTGGCAGCTTTTTCCCTGTCGACAGCCGCAGCCGGCCCTACAAATGGCTACTATCGGACCAGCAACCGCAGCAAAACACCTGACTGAAAGCAAAGAGTCAAATAAAATAAATTCGCTTTTCCTGCTGCCGTAAGGGTGCCGCCCCTCATTTTCAAGTGTCCTCCACGGCCGCCCTTACAGTAAGGACCGTTTTTTTTTTTCTTTTTCTTTTTCTTTTTGGAGAAACATAGCATTTACCATTCCAATGCGACAACCGGGGCCCGGGAACACACCCCTACATATCAACCCGGTACGTAAGGACCATTTTGGCTGGGGTGCAGTTACTTTTGTAGGGCCCACCCTTACGGTCGGGATTGTGAAAACACATCGGATTTCATTTGCATCGTGATTAGGCAGGGGTGGAACCAGGATACCCTTAGGGCTGGACCCCACTGGAAAAACCTTGGAAAAGTGTGTTATTTTGGAAATCGTGGAAAGGGCACTTGGAAGATTCCGCGGATGAAATGACGGGACTCCACCAAAGAGGCTGGAAAAGGCCTGTGAAAAGCGATTTCTTCCAGACTTTCCAAGCTCGTGCCGTCATTGTGGACCAGCGAAGTCCGTTGGGGTGGTATGGGCGCCCACGATGCCACCTACGGGACACTCCATGGACCCAGGTCGTGCAAGGAAGTTTTCCAGACTTTTCCAGCCCGCCCCCCCTACCCAGTCCGTTTGCCACAAAATAGTGCCGTCAACTACGGAAAATGACACATTTCGGACTGAAACCACATGTGGAAACGTCGAAGTGCCATCTTCCAGGAACACTTTTCCAGACTGTGGGGTCCCGGGAAGTGGAAAACGCAACAAAAAAAACACTTTCCAGGAACCCGATTTCTTCCAGTGGGGTCCGTGAAAAGCACTCGCGTGGCCCGTTTTCCAAGATTTTGGCCTGTGGGGTCCAGCCCTTACTTTCCGCAATTCTTTGGTGGTGGTGTAGAATGAGGCCCTAACCCGTGACCTGTTTGTCGTGAGCAAACTCCACACTTGTAATGAAATTTTCTGTGGGCTGGGGCTGTGGTCAGTTCGGAGATGATTTATTTTTATTTATTTTTTTGCGTTAGAGGGAGAGAACAAGGCTATGTTCGCAGGAATCCCCTGTATAAGCCTAAGGAGTAGTGGTAGGCCTGGTAGCCAGTGAAGAGGAAAGGCCTCGATCACTTGGAAGTGAAAGAATTTGAAAGATGATGAAAATTTTGAGAGGAGATGAAATTTCGGCGGGCAGTCATTATTGGAAAAATTTCCGATCAGTGTTTCCTAATTTATGGGCCTTGCTCCACCACTCACCACATGTGCGGTTTACCGGGCAGTTCTATTTGACGATATATATATATGGGCCTCACTCCACCACTCACCACGTGCAAAAAATTAGACTGAATCTTCCTCTACACCATGGAAAGATACACCACCACCATTTTCTTTTTTTGTCTTTAAGACATGTGGTCAGTAGTGTAGCCAGGCCCTTTACATCTTGTCATGTCATTTTATTTTATGTCAGGAGCTCATTTTCCCTTTCTTCTTGTCACCGTCAAACTGGCCTGAGGCGAGAAATTCCGAGTGAAAAAAAACCAAAAACTCAACTCACGATTCGAACTCAGGGCTCAGGGGCGTGGTCCCACTAGCAAAGAGGATCGGATCGAATGCCTGAATCTGGACGAGTTTATGGAGATGTGCAGGAAATCGAGATTGAACTGCTTTTCTGCATTTCTGCATCAAGATTCAGGAGCTCGATCCTATCCTTTTTGCTAGTGGGACCTCGGCCCAGGTCAGGTTTCTCAACAGTTCATTCATGTGTATACGGTTGGGGCCTGCGGCACTTTTTTTTTTTTTTTTAATTTTATTTTTTTGGCTCAGTTCCCAGTTTTTTTTTTTCTTTTTTCTTTTTTTTTTAATCATTTTCACTTTCTTCCTATCATCGTCAAACCGACCTGCGGCGAGAAATTCCGAGTACAGCAGAACTCAACCCAGGATTCGAACTCAGGTCAGGGTTCGCAACTTTTTTTATTTTTTTATTTTTTATAATTCTTATGAACATTTCATTCATGTGTGTATACATATGGTTCTCGGAAAAAAAACAATAACAAAAAAAAAACATATGGTTCTCGCCGCACCATTCACAAAATCTGCTAAATGGAGAATGCATCGCCTCTGAAAACGTGGACAGGTGCATCCGCCATAGTCTTTGTCTATTTCATACTTAGTGAGAAGTGTGGCCAGGCCCTACCATTCTGAGTCTGCCACATTGGAGTTGGAGGGGGAGTCTGCCGCCGCATCTCATTCTTGTCTTGTCGTCGTTTTGTCGGATTCAAGAAAGAGTGTGATCCCCACCCAAAAACGCGGCAAGTACCGTCCCTGGGGTAAGCCCCTCAAGAAAGAATTCAGCATCATTTGATGAAGCACCAAGGCTCTTAATATTTTATATATCATTTATTGGGAACATTTCGTCGATAGCATCTATTGCAACGATAGAGCACCACTAAATCGAAACCATATCGAGCAAACGGGCTTCACACACACACACACACACACACACACACACACACACACACACACACACACACAGAGAGAGAGAGAGAGAGAGAGAGAGAC